GGAGATGGCCACGCTGCAATCCCTTCTCCATTCTCCTCTGGGGATCTTGGGCACGCACGCACACACGCCCGGCGTGAGTTTAAGCCGCTGGGTCCGGGACTCGAACTGTAGTTGACTACGTAGGAGTCCAGCGACATAGCCATTACACTAACTGCTGGTCCCCCAACTAGTTACTTTTCATGGTCCAACCCAGGCTTTGAATTTGCTTTTTGTGTCTGCCACCCCCCCAACCCTGCAGGGAGCTTCCCCCCACTTCCCCCACTGCCCTAGAGCATGTTTACGGAGGGCTCAGTGGAGGGTTCAAGGCTGTCAATTTGTTAAATTTTAAAAATTGTTTTGTGGAGGTATAATTGATATACAATCAAAGTGGCACATGTTCATTGCGTACAGTATGAGGATTTGGACACCTGCATACTCCTGTCAGTCAGATCTGCTCCAGGAATCCGACCCATGGTGGACTAGATGCCTTCCATTCTTCCAAGGCACTTGTGTTTTTGTTGGGCTACAGCAACTGGACTGGATGTTAGTTTTTTTTTGTTTTTAGTTTTGCCACTGGGTGTGTGCACTTGCTAGAGAGGACAGACAGAGACAGTGAGAGCGAATGTGAGAAATCACTCTTCAGGGAGAATACTGTGCTCCAATCCCTTCTCCATTCTCCTCCTGGGACTTGGGGCACACAGGCACACTTGCACACTTTTCAAACCACCACGTCTGGAATTCAAACCTTGGTTAACCTTGTGGGAGCCTAGCACCTTACTACCACACCGCTTGCTGGCCCCTCAACTAGAAGATAAAACTGACATGTAGCTTAATGCCCAATTGCTTTGCTGATTAAATTTTTTTGTATGTGAAACAGTCAATGAATCTTCTTGCTGGGTTGAATTTTGCACTAGTTTTGGGTACAGTATCTAGTAGCTTTAACTAATACTTTTTGTTGGCTGTCTTTGTTTACAGATGTTGGAAATCAGTAGCTCTTTTAGCTTTTACAGTATTTAAATATAATAGTGTCATTGGACTCAAATGTTCCTGATGCCAACCTCTTCAGAATTAAACAGTGGGCAGAACTTCTTGACCCAGTGGATGACCAATCCTTCTCGGGCTGGAGTCATATTAAATCGTGGCTTTCCTGTTTTGGAAGTGAATGAAGAAAAGCATGCATCTGCAGACATTTCTACAAGATTTCCTATTAAAGCCACACATTTTTCAAATAGCTTCAGCTTTATAAGTGAAGATTCACTTCATGAAGAACAGAAAACAGATAAATGTGAAACCCATACAGTCTTTCCTTTAATTAAAACAGGACTACCAACAGTGGCATGCCAGGATGCTGCTGGACCCCAGAAAGATAACAAAAATGACTTTATCCCAGATCTTGCAAATGAATTCAAAGAAGTGGCTTATAAAGATCCACTTTTTAAAAAACTTGAACAGGTACACTAGATTTGGTATTTGTGTTGTTGCAGGTTTCTGCTTATGTAGAAGTCATCTGTTCCAGGTCCTCTTGTTTCTTCCCCTTTACCGTGAACTCCTCCAAATACCAGATTCTGTCATTTGTGAGATATTAAAATGTGTTTAATATGTAAGATATAACTATAATCCTTAAGATAATTTAATCTCTATAAATTGCTATCTTGTTTGCTAAAAGTTACTAAAAGATGTTAGGATTAGTTGATGATATAAGAATCAAGATTTATATGGTTTTTTTCTATTCTTAGTTGAGGTAGCTATTATAATTCCTTCATAAGAAATTGGATGTTGGACTTTTGGTGGTAGGTTTTAGTTACTTAGGGATCCCTCTCTGAAACTCTACCAGGGATGAAGGAGAAGGGCTACAGGAGGGATTAAGATGAATGTAAGGAGCAATGGTCCAGAAAAATGTGAGGTTAGATTCATAAAGCTAATTTTTTGTTTAAAAAGCTGAAAGAAGTCCAACAGAAGAAGCAGGAACAATTGAAGAGGCAACAGTTAGAGCAACTACAGAGACTCGTGGAAGAACAAGAGAAGCTGCTCTCTATGGTCTCTGGGCAACACACGCTTCCAGGTGGGTTTTGCTTACACAGGCCCTTCAGTTAGTATAAGAGACACATACGTTTCTGTCAAAGTTGTTCTACAGGCTATATCTACTATTCCTCTGTCATGTTGCAAACTCCAATTTCTTTTCTTTTTTTGAGAGAGATTTTTGTTGTGTAGTATGTGTAATTGCTGGATAAACAGAGGCAGAGAGATGGAAAGCAAGAAATCACCCACCCACCCCAGGGATGGCCATGCCACAATCCCTTTTCTTCCAGTGTCCTCTCAGGATTTTGGACACACATGCATACACGTACCTGGAGTGAGTTTTAAGTCTCCAGCTCCAGGACTTGAACTACAGTCAACTATGTGGGAGTCCAGTGATTTAGCTGTTACACTATCTCCTGGTCCCTGCAAACTCCAGTTTCTTTAGGAGCCAGGGAGGTAAGTGGGAGATGGTGGTGGTATAATAGAGCTGGGACTCTGGCATCCTGTAGTTCCTGTGCCCTGCTCACGGGTATTCATGTTTATTTATGAATTTTTTCAAAGCTTTATTTATTTAATGATGAGAGAGAGACAGACAGACAAACAGTGGGACATCACCCCCATTAAGGTCTTGTCGCTGCTATCCACTCCAAGCCTCAGGTATGAGTTCAGTGTACTCAGGTATAGTTACTCAGGTAGATTTCGGACATAAACCCAGAACCTTCCCATGTGGGTTAGCCTTGCAGAGCAGTGCATTTTACTGCTGCCTCACTGTCCAGACCCTGCATTTATGTATTTAAAAAAAAAAAAAAAAAGGCTCATTAGAAAAGCCAAATTTGCCCTAGAGCTACAAGTACCCAACTCCTACTTGACGGATGAAAACTGTTTGTGTCATGAAGGTAAGTATGACTCTGCTCAGCTGACAAGCCATATTAATATTTCCCGTGGTAGTAGATGACAGTGTTCTGTTGTATGCTACCTCAATTAACAGAAAGCATCATGCACTTAGCAAGGAAAAATCCTGTGGAAGGGTGATCTGGAGCAGTGGTTTGAAAGTGTTTTGATGATACACCATGATAACAAGAATAATTTAAACCAAGATTCAGTGACAAATTTCATATCGGTCTTTTCTTTCTTTTTTTTTTTTTGTTGCTTGCCAGAGGATGTGTGCATTCATGAGAGAGAAAGAGAGAGGGAACAACCCCCCACCCCCAACGGGGTATGTCATGCCACAACCTTTTCTGCATTTCTCCATCCTGTCAGGAGTCTGGTCACACATGCACATGCACATTTACCCAGCATTTTTTTCAGCCCTCCAGGATCAGGACTCAAACTATGGTTAGCTGTGTGGGATTTGGCTCCCCATACAAAGGAGAACATGTGTGTATCTTTTTTTTTTTTTTTAAGAGATTTTTGCTATAGGGTGCATATGCTCGCTAGAGAGACAGAGACAGAAAGTGAGAAATCACCCTCCCACCCCAGGGGGGATGGCTATGCCACAATCCCTTCTCCTCCATTCTCTAGGGGTTTTGGGCACACATGGACACGTCCCGGGTCTGAGACTCATGGCCAACCACATGGGAGTCCAACAGTGTAACCATTATGCCACCTGCTGGTTTCAATGTGGATATCTTTGTTTTAAAAATAATTATTTATTTAATTGTATTTATTATCATTATTATTTTTTAATTTGCTATAGGTTATGTGTACTCACCAGAGAGAGACAGAGAGAGAAAGCAAGCTGCCAGGTCTGGGACTTGAACTGCAGTTGACCATGTGGGAGCCTAGCGCCCTTAACTACCATGCCACCTGCCAGCTCCCCCCAGCATGTATCTTAAAATATAGTTATGTTTCCCTTAATGATGGCATATGTTCTGAGAAACGTATTGTTGGGTGGTTTTGTTGTGTGAAGATCATAGAGTGAACTTACACTAACCTAGATGGGATAGCCTGCTACATACCTAGACAATATGGTATAGTCGAATGGTTCAGGGTTTTCTTATCGGATCCATAAATATTTAGATGTGGGGCAGGCATTGCTGTAGAGGAAGGAGGTTGCAGCTGATAGGAGGTTCCACCAGCTCTGCCTGATTTCCTGCTCATATCTGTGGGCTGGGGTAGATAAATGATTGGTTGTAGTGGCTATTTTATAAAACACTTTCTGTTATGTCTTCATTTCCAAGTTGAGGTGAGAATCAGAGAAAGGGCTGGCAGCAGATAGGACATCGAATGTGCCACTTCTCTGAGAAGTGTAACTTTGAGACATACAGCAGGGGACCCTTCTGTCTGTCTGTTATGGTATTTCAAAAGCAGAGGCTTAGAAACAAAACACCCGAAAAATAATACAAGAAATTTAGAAACTAAATAAAAGTACAATAAAAGAAAAAGTCACTGTTTTAGTCCACTTTTCTGTCACTAACAACAGAATACTACATTGGATAATTTATGAAGAGTAGAGGTTTATTTAGCTTGTGGTTTTGGAGGTCCAAGGTCAAGAGACTGCATCTGGTGAGGGTCCTCTTCTGGTGGAGACTCTTTGCAGTGTCTGAGGCATGCAGGACTTATGTGGCAAGAGTTTGTGTCTGTGTCCCAGTCTGTGTCTTTCTCCTGCTCATAAACCCACAAAGATTCAGTTGTGGGGCACCACTCTGATGGCTTTAATCCTAATCTTATCCCACAGGCTCCACTTCTCAATCTTGTAGTCAGATTAAGCTTCCACACTTTTAATGCTGTCATAACCAAATTTCAACACATGAATTCAGGGGGTAGGCACATTCAGTGCAAGCAAGTATCTATAATTTCACCACCCGGTGATACCAAAGTATTAGGGGTAATTTAAAGGAGAGATACTTTTACCAGCAATTAATCATTAGGGAACAAGTCAGATAAATAGCGTAACTATCTGCCTTGGTGCTCCGGGTCTGTCTTGTCAGCAGACTGCAGAGTGGATGTCTGTATATTCCTACTCCTGCTGGAGTTGGACTGTGCTGCAGCTCTGTCATGCACACGTGTCCAAAGAAAGTGTAATGCAAATACATTCTTTCTTAAAATCATGTGATTTTTCACTTTAGAATTTAAAATTTCATGATTTAGTTATTATTTAATTTTTTAATTGCCAGAGGGTGAGTTAGCAGAGAAAGAGCAAGAGAAAGCACTCCTCGGTGGGGCATAGTCATGCCGCAGCTTTTTCCCTTCATCCCATCATGATTTGGGGAACACATGCACATATTACCCCCTGTGCTTTTCGAGCCACAGGGCTCGTATTCGAATTGCACTCAGCCATGTAGGATCCAGCTCTGAATGCACAATACTTAAATCATTGCACCACAGAGGTGGTCCTCATGACTATGTTAAACACATTTTTTTCCTAATAAGGAGAAAAAAAATAATTTTTTGGTTTGGAGACTACTTTGTGGGGTGGGAGTGGGGTCACTGCTAGGCAGAATGAGAAAATGTAGGGAGTTCTCAGCTTTGTTGATTTTCTTGATTATTAGGTTTGACTTTACTGCCTGATGATCAGAGCCAGAAACACAAATTTCCAGGAAATTCAACCTCTGGAGAGAAAGCCACGCCCTTCTTACCATCATATGTCTCCCCTAATCAAGTCCAAGAAAAATTGCATGCTTCGGACATTTTACCCAATCAGCAAAGCAACTTCTGTAGAACCACTCATCAGGATTTTGTCTTAACTTCAAAAAGTGGTGCTCCCAGTTTGTTTTATGAGACACAGTATCAAGAAGCACTTGAGAAGAAAAATGATTCAAGGGAAGAAAACCATAGCTATCCTCCAGGTGAGTCGCTTGTATTTCTCGCTTCTTTTGTTAGCTAACAGTGTCACCAAGTTGTCTTCAGGCAAGAGAAGGCTTTTCTGCATTTTCCTATCCTCTGTGGATTTAATTATGAGGTCCCCCATGCTGCATGACCACCAAGCCTGAATGGGCCCTTGGGCTGGGCCAGGATTGGGCTTTCCAAGAACAAGTGCAGTGCCCATGCTGACTTCAAACTGTGCATGTAGCTGGGGGTCTCAGAAAGGGATGCTGTGTGTCTTACATGCACCATTGTTCTTTGAGAGCTTAAGAACAGTTTAAAGTTATTTAAGTGTGTGTGTGTGTGTGTGTGTGTGTGTGTGTGAAGCTGAGAAGCCTAACAGAAGGTGTAAAATGTTAGAAATAGGTTGTTGGAGGATCTATTACTCATAAAAGGAATCCTCCGACCCAGCATTCGGGTTGTCTTCACTGTCCTGCTGTATTCCCAGCACGGTGCTGCCAGAGATCTGGTACTCAGTGTATGATGGCATAAACTCATGGAGCTCTTTGGCATTTCTGGTGCATTTTCTTTTAGTCCTTTTTTAAAAAAAAAAACAAAAAAACCCCCATTTTTTAAATTGGTAAAATCCCATTTCTCCCTGCCCACCTCTCTCTTCTGTTTACATTGTTGTAATCATAGACTATCATATAATAATATTGTGTTCTTTTTCCACTCAATTGAAAAGTCTTATGGTAGATTCTGTAGTCTTCATAGTCATATTTTAATGTTTGCCGTCACTATAGCCATCAAATAACCTGTCAGTATTTAACATTCTTTGTGGAGGACAGAGTTGTTTTCTAGTATTTAAAAATTTTTATTTGGTTTTTAATTTTAATGACATTTTCATTAATGTGCTCTTTTGACAAGTTATAGAAAAATGCAATATAACAAAAGATATTGGTACTTAAGATTATATGTAATGTATCATTCTTAATTTAGAGTTACTTCCGTGATACAGAAAGGTCGTATTTTTTTTTCTTCATTTTCATACAATATACTTCCCTAACCTTTTATTTTAGACAATTACAAACATCCAGGAAAGTTGGAAAACCACTTCAATGATTATTAATATATTCTCCACCTAGAGTCAGGTTAATATTTTGCCATATTTATTTTGTCACTATGTATGTATGTATGTGTGTGTGTACATATGTATGTGTTTTTCTGTTTTAAGCTCCATGAAAGCAAGAACAATGCTTATCTTTCTATTTTTAAAGTTTATTTATTTATTTCCTCCATGAGAGACATTAAAAAAGAGACAGGAGGGGGAGAAAGATGGTATTGTCAATAGGTCCTGGTACTGTGATCCAGTCCCAGCCTTTAGCCAGCTCTGGATCACGGGCAGCTGTGTGCCAGCATACTCAGGGAGGTCTCCAGACGTGAACAGGAACCTTCCTGTGTGAGATCGCCTTGCAGTGTGTCACGTTTCACTGCTGTGCCAACATCTGGCCCCTATCCTATGTCTTCTGTTATAGTTTGTTCCATTGCTCATACTAGAAAATACCTTAAACCAGATAATTTATAAAATTAGAAGTGTTTATTCAGGTCTTGATTTAGGTGTCCAGGTCAGGTGCCTCCTCTGATGGGGATCTGGCAAAGTCTCAAAGCTTCATATTGTGAAAGTGAAAGCAGAGAGGAGAGGCTGCTTGTAAATCTGTCTTCTTAAGAAGAGAGTGCTGGATTAGGCGGGTCCTTTTTATGAATAATGGCCCCCATAACAACCCATTTCTCACATTTTACATCTTCTATCAGACTTCCCAGCTCTACCACCCAACACACATAAATGAACTTCTTATAAACCTATCAGAACTTAATCATGGTGGCCTTACCCTAATCATCTAATCACTAATCTCCCAAAGGCTCCACCTTTCAACCCCATAATTGGATCAAGCTTTTACTTTCTTAATCCCATTACAGTGAAATCTCAACAAATAAATTTTGGGAGGACACAGCCATAGCATAACTATCTCTGTCTACATTTATATGTATATAATTGCCTGAGTCATATCACTTGAAGTGGTTTCATACACACACACACACACACACACACACACATACATATATACATATAAGTAATTTTCTGATATGCAGACGTTATGTTTTTTTTTAACATATAAAAATTTAATAAGAACTGCAAAGCTACATTATCATGCAATCATTTTGTTCATGAGTAAAGCAGAGGGTCAGATTCTTCCATAGTAGTTACTTGGTAAATCGTTTTTACTATGGTCAAAGCATGAGCAAAGACTACTGTTGTAGAGTGCCACCAAATGAACGACCACCAAAGCCAGATTAAGTTTAAAGGAATGTCCACGGGGAGCCGTAGGGGTTTTGGGCCCCGTCAATCCTCAGTTTCAAAGGCCAGCATGGACTTTAGAAGTCCTGAGCTCCCTTCAGAGATCAGTGCATTCTGTTTCTGTTGACCAGTTCCACACTTGGGGACAATGTATCAGTAGGGAACATAAAGATGTCAGTTATGGGCATTGTTTAATGCCCGGGTTGTCTACTTCGGAAACAGAGTTTTTTTTGAGGCAGTGGCTCTGATCTGGGCTGTGTCCAGATCGTGCCCTCGAAGAAGTTTCCAGCCTTCAGGATTACCATGAGTGACTACTGGAAGTCATTTAAGTGAAAGTTAAATCAAAGGTTAAGGTGTGTTGACGAAAAAAATAACCAACTGTAAAATTAATAATTAATGTGGTTTATTTCCAAGTCAAATATGAGTGACCTAGGCCCGGAGAAGAGGCATATATGCCTTTCTCGGGGTGATCATGTACACGGGTTCCTTTTATTTGTTTTTGAGATTGACAGACAACATTTAGTGAAGAGATTTTCCATTGGTCTGGCCCAAAAAGGCAGGATATATGAAAGTGGGGGCTTGTAGGTTATAGGTGGGTTCCACAATTTTTAGGTTGGTGATTGGAAGGGAAGATCTGTGTCTTGGGAAGAGATTAGTTAAAGAAAGGCTTAATGTACATCTCAAGGAAAAGGGAAGTTCTGTGTCTTGGGAAGAGATAAACGAAAGAATATACTGAAATCGGTTGAAATATACATCTCAAAGATACTATGCCAGAGACAGGGGGTAGGAAGAATACTGTTAATAGAAAATAAATAGTTTGTTAATGTTTGTGGGCATGACTTCCCTTTTAAAAAGATTTTGGAAAATAGGAAAAGTAGACTTCTGTCCACAGGTGCCTTGTCAATTTGTTATATTTTTTTGAGTTATTTGAGAACTTTTAAAACATATTTGTTCTGAATTGTAAGAGCTCTAACACTGAGAAGTGAAACTAAATTCCAGTAGATCCTGTAAGGAGCAGTTGAGTACTAGAGGACGGAGCCCAGTTTATAGGTTTTACAAGGCATCTGTCTTATTAACTACATAAAAACCCTAGTTGGAGAATGTAGTCTTAATCTAAATTTTTATTTTTGTAGTTAGACCTGTTGATCATTTAACTAAGGGGAGAGTCCAGTGGGGAAGAGGCCTAACTTTAAGAGAAACAGGAGTACAAGCAGGCAGGGAGGGAGGAGGCAGCCAGGAGCTCCTGCCTTAACTTGTCTCACCCGGTTCCCTGAGACTGTTACGTTGTTGGATAGGAGTTTTTAGCTTTTGTCTTTGGTTAATTTTGGCTTAACAGTTTAAAACCCAATCAGTTCACATAGAAAATGAAAATTTTACCCAGTTAAATGATTAGATTTTTAGAAACCACTTGTAAGAGTACATTTTTTTTTCACTTTTTGTGAATTTCCTTAAGGACATGACATTAGGATTATAGCCATAGTTAATGCTCTGGCAAAAATTTATAACTGACAAAGAAATTTGGCTAGTAACCAGTTTAACATAATAACTTACCACATGACTGATAAATATTCCATCATAAGTTTTTGGGAATCTCAAATTATTTTGGAACAATACATATATAGACATACAAATACATATCATATTTTTAACATATAACAAATACAATGTCATTTACTAAAGTTATATGAATTTAAAAAGCATATAAACCAATTTTTATGAGCACTCTTTTAATAAGCCAAATCGAATAGAATTTTTGAAGGCCTTTTTCACACAGACATGACATACAACATACAGTACATAACATGACATATTAGATGTATGCATGCACACATATATCAGGACCATAAGGGCCAATTTCCCTGGGGTTATTTTGACACTAATAAGACAATTCGCAGAGATACACTTCTAAAAGTCCTGAAAGTGATCTAGAAAACAGTTAAGGGGGGCACATGTAAACAAACAGACTGATGACTGTCCCTGACCATCTTGACAAAAACAAGACTGACGAAGACTAGACAAATCAAGACAGTGCACCCAAAGACAAGCAGGGTGATGACTGGTCCTGTCCCATTTTTAAAGACAAGACAAAGCAAGACAGTGTACCCAGAAATCACTGTCACCAGAGACCTGAAGTGCTGTCACACTTGGGCCCAGGGACCTGGAGGTTCCGCTGCGTCTAGTCCTAAAGTTCCACCAGGAGAGCTCTCAAACCAAGATAACTAGAATCTTACCAGATTCAGGCGCCACCAGAGACTTCAATTTCTGATCCATGTTTGTGAGGCCTCCTTACCCCTCTTGGGATCTGGAACATGGTGTAAGGAGCATCCTCATTGGGGCATTATTCGGCCATTGTAAGGTTCCCAGATCTTGCTGGGGCCTCCAAATGTTGTAGAGTGCCACCGAATGAATGACCACCAAAGCCAGATTAAGTTTAAAGGGAGTCTTTATTAGCTGGCCAGCGACTATAGTCTGAGGCTTTGGGGGGTGGGGGAATGCAAGAGTCAGAATTGTAGCCCCAACTGAAGTTGGAGTAGTCTTTTTATAGGTGGTCAGTTACCCGGGGTTTCTATGTAGGCAGTTACAGAAGCTGAATTAAGCAGGTTATTTCTGAGGGGAGTAGGGTTTCCATGCAAGCAGTTACATTGTTAAACAAAAGGGTTTCTCGATAGTTAGCAAAGACAGTAGCAGGTACAGGATTTTGTCCCGGATGTGGTTTTAGCACTAGCTATTTTCTCATGGGAAGAGCAAGCAGGTTTACAGAAGCAGACAGCCGTGTTAGGGGAAGGGTACAAAATGGAAGAACATTTGTTCATGTGCAAGATCTAATATGTAGCCTTCCACGCTACCACCAGTTTTCTAATTAGTAATGCAGGTCCTGAAGAGTAGTGTGCAGGTACTAGCTCTTCTTTTTTTTTTTTTTTTTCTTTTTGGCATTATGTTGTTAAAACATCATTCCAAATGTTTCAGCATACATCAAATAAAAAATTAGGACATTTTACTGTATAACCTCAATACCAATATTATACCTAATAAAATTAACAATAATTCCTTACTATTCAAGTCTATTTTAGAATTACTCCATTACCTTAAAATGCCTTTTAAAGGTTTTTTTTTTTTTTTTAAAAGCCAGAGTCCAATCAAGTTCATACATTATATATTGGTTATTATATCTATAGCCTTTTTTTGTTTTGTTCTAGTTTTTTTTTTTTTTTTGACATAGGACGTGTGTGCTTACCAGAGAGATACAGAAAGAGGGAAAGTAAGAAGTCATCCCATGGGGGGATGGCCACATTGCAATCTGTTCTCCTCAGTCTCCTTTTGTGATTTTGGGCACACATGCATGTATACTTGGTGTGATTTTTTTTTTTAATATTATTTATTTACATTCACTCACTATACATCATTACAGCAAACAAAATGAGATTTCCCATCCAGAATACACTGTATATTGGCTCAATCAAGCACGTCAACATACGTGTTATTGTCAACAAATAATTTCCATTTGTTTCCTATTTATTTTGTTATTTTTGCCATCCTTGATTCCCTATCTCTCACCCTCTGCTGTGTCTCACCCTCCTCCCACACTGTCTCAGGTATCCATGGTTGCTTTCTATGCAATAGAAAAAAATGCCCCCCCCCATTTTATTTATTTGCTAATTGATCTTAATTAATTTAAATACTTCCAATAGCAAGTGCAGCTGATATAAACATATCCATGCACACAAGTCTGACTTTAGGCATACACCTCAGTGAGTAGAATGAATATACTATAAAGTAGCATCTAGTTGGGGCTATATAGCTTACTGCAGTCATCAAATATGTATTTTTTTTTAATTTCAAGAAAAATAGTTTTTGTGTTTCTTTTTTTCTCTTGAAACGTCCCCTAATCATTGTCACAGAATACAAAAAGTGGTTTCCCATCCAGAATATGCTACATAGTGGCTTAATCATATATGTTATCATCAATAATTTTTCATTTCTAGTTTTATTTACATAATATTCCATTTCTACTTTCATGTATATATGTTTTTTACCCCATGTCTGACCCTCTGCCCTATTCCACTCTCTTATTACACTATCTCTGCTGTCTACAGTTATCTTCAATTCCTTTTCCCCCAACATTTCGTTGATCACACAATAGCATAAGTAATCTAACTACTTACAAAAGCAAGTTCAGTTGATGGTTTCAAGACAAGCAGTTTTGAACTGGTAAGGATATTTCCTTAAAACTTAAAGCCTGGAAACAGGTTAGTTAGTATTCTGTTCAAATAGTAGGTTCATAAACCTATTTATAGCTCAAAACAGGGCAAAAACTCTTAAAACTGGACAACAAAGCCTAGAAAAAAAGCAGCAATATATTTTTTTTCTTTTTTTGGAGAGGTTTTTGCTATAGGGTGTGTGCGCTTGCCAGAAAGACAGAGAGACAGAAAGCGAGAAATCACCCCCCATGGGGGATGGCCACGCCACAATCCCTTCTCCTCCATTCTCCTCTTGTGATCTTGGGCACGCACGCACACGCGCCCGGCGTGAGTTTTAAGCCATTGGGTCTGGGACGCGAACCGCGGTTGACTATGTGGGAGTCCAGCAACATAGCCTTTACGCTAACTAAAGCAGCAATATTTAAGTCAAAAGTCACAGAATGCCATTTCACCAGTTCAGTCTCGTGTACTTAGTCTATCTTATGTGGTGGTTTGATCTTCCCAATTGAATTCTGGGATACAATATTCAACTCCAGACTTGTCCCTATGATTAAGTTGGCCATTTTCTTAGTTTTTGAACTCTTATTTCTGTGTGACTACATTTAATTTTCTGGACATAGCACTCCCTTGAGAACTGCTTGGAGATCTGGTCTGGTGCTAGTAAATTCTTTGAGATTTTGTTTACCTGAGAATGTTTTTGTCTTTTCTTCCCATATGAAGGATAATCTTGCCGGGTATAGTATTCTCAGTTGAAATTGCTTTTCCCTTAATACTGTGAATATATTTTCCTATTCTTTCTTTGCTTGCATTGTTTCCAATGAGAGGTCTGCTGTTAGTCTGATGGGATATCCTTTGTAGGTAACATGCTGTTTCTCTCTTGCCAGTCTTAATATCTTGTCTTTGTCTTTGTGGTTTTGGTCAGACTGGCTATAATGTATCTTGGAGAAAATCTGCTGGATTTTTCTAGACCAACAATTTTCTCTTCTACATCTGAGATTCTATTTTCTGTATGATCTAGTCTGCTTTTTATACTTTCAAGAGAGATTTTGACTTCCTGTATTACAGTCTTCATCTCTTACAGTTCCATTTGATTCTTTTGTAAAGTGTGTATTTCCTCTTTTAGATCTTGCAAGAGTTTCCTCACCTCTCGGAACTCGTCAGCTCCTTTCTCCTTTCTCTTCTGCAGTTCATTGTCTCTCTTCTCTTCCATCTCTGTTAGCTTTGCCATTATGAATGTTCTAAATTCTTTATGATATTTTCATTGAACTGTTCGTGGATGAAGAGGAGTTATTCTTTTCTCTTGGAGGAGAGGTATTTTCTTGCTTTCCCATATTTCTTGTGGCTCTGTGGTGTTTTCTAGTCATCTGATGGAAAGTGTGTTTCTTCCCAAACTTGAAGTTCAATCTGAGTGTCCAGGAACATGCAGAAAAGGAAACAGAGAGAGAGAGAGAGAAACTACAGCAACAAAACAAACAAAAAAAAGAAAAAAAAGAGAAGAAAAAACTAATTTTTTTTTTAAGAAAAGCAAAAATTAGAAATTAATAGTTCTCAGGAGCCATGAAGGTGCCGTCCTCTGAGGCCTGCTTCCTTGCCTCTCCTGGGTTGGGAGGAGAGAGGATTATTAACAAGATAAAGGGAGAGGAGGGGCTGAAAGCTGAGTAAATGCATTACCTTAAAACTTTTTAAAAAGGAAAAATTATAAAAAAAAAAAAAAGAAGACAGAGGCAGAGGTAGAGGCTTGAGGGAGCTCCTATCACTGGAGTTTGTGGGCTAGAGGCTGAATTATCATTAGAAAATCTTCATTTCTTTATTCCCTGAAATCACTAGTTCTCAGGAGCCATGAAGGTGTCTTGTCCTTGGTGTGAATTTTAAGCTGTTGGGTCCGGGACTTGAATCACGGTCGGTCATGTGGGAGTCCAGTGCCTTAACCATCATATCACCTGCTGACCCCACCTGTAGTCTTTTTTACTCTAGAAAAATTATGTGTCCTTTTTTTTTCATGACGTCTCAAAGAATTATGAAGTGTCTTAGTTGAAGTTTTACAGTTTTCATTGTATTAAAGAAATCCTTGAGTGTTCTAAAATCTTTGGCATCTGTTACTGATAATTAAATTTTTTTTTAGCATAGTAACTTGTAAAATTCATAAGTTTTAAGGCTTTAATCTTTTTTTGAACTAAATTGTTTCTAATTTTATTGTAGGAGAAGATATTTTACCATGTTGGGAGAAAACAACAGAACAGATTCAGGAAGGAAATGATATAAACTTAAAAAAAACTGGTTATTCCTCACAAGTAGTTAATGTTGAAGAAAGGTATGGTTCATATTGAAAATAATAAGAAGTCTTATAGTTTAGTATAATAGCTAGCCTTTATTGTGCAGTTTCTTTGTTTGAAAGATTCATGCTTTTATTATTTTTGCTTTAATACGCATGTAAGCATAAAGTTGAAGATATAACCTATCACACATACTGTTGAAATTAGAAATTGGGGAAGATATAGAAGATAATGTAGGCTTGGCATTGTTTTGGAACAATTGAGCGAAGTTTTTTCATTTGAGAGAAACATGGTTAAAATTAATTTTCTCAGAAAAAATTAATTTTCTCTTGAATAGTTAAATCCTTTTATATTGGAGGAGAGAAAAATTGAGGATTAATGTTTCATATTTGGTGTCACTTATAAACTACAATTGCCTAATTAGTTTAGTCATAGAATTTTAAAATGTAGCAAAGTATTTTATCTTTTAAATAGGCTTATTATATATTTGAAGTGTGTTACTGTTTGTTATAAGCAAAATGATTTTTCTGATTATTACTCTACTCATATTTTTAAGAACTTCTTAAATTAAAAAAATGCATATTTAATGAATTTTTTTGAAATACATTTAAAGTTATATAATGTTTGTTACTCTAAAAGTTAATCTACAGTCAATAGATAGATTTCAGAAGGGCCATGAGTACTCTTAAATCATGTGCAGAGTATTATATATATATTTTTTTTAAGAATTATTTAATTTAATTTTATTTATTCATTCATTTATTTTAATTTGACTAGAGAGAGACACAGAGAGAGAAAGGGGGAAAGCAAGAAAGCAAGCCACCAGGTCTGAGGCTTTTATTTATTCATTCATTTATTTTAATTTGACCAGAGAGAAACACAGAGAGAGAGGGAAAGTGAGACAGCAAGCGACCAGGTCTGAGGCTTGACCCTTGGTTGGCCATGTGGGAGTGTCTAGTGCCTTAACTACCATGCCACCTGCTGGTCCCACAGAGTATTATATATTTCTGTATTTTGGGAGGTAGAGGGAAATTGTAGCTTTCATTAGATTCTCAGAGGAGGTTCCTGACTCTGAAAAAGGCTAGTTCTAAGTGTTAAGTGGTCTATGTCAGTCACACATGTAATGATTTACATGTTAAATAATGTTGTTTTTTTATTGTTAGGCCTATTAAAGCTGCTATTAGAGAAAGGAAACAGACATTTGAAGACTACTTAGAAGAACAAATTCAGTTAGAAGAACAGGAACTGAAAAAAAAACAACTAAAGGTTCGCATTTGTACTGTTTTGATGAAATTAAGTTTTTTTTTTTTAATAGGGATTTATTTATAATTTGCTTTAAAAATAACTCAAAATTAGATTCTGAGTTTGTGGCAGCATGGACAACATAGCAATATTCTATTTGAAAGAGTAGGGGCTTAATGGCATTTGATTAATTGCCACTACTCTGGATACTGAGGCTGGCGGATTTTGACATAGTGAGACCTTGTCTAAGTTAAAACCAATAGCAACAAAAACTTCAGAATTAATCCAGATATTGTCCTTTCATTTTAGGAAGCAGAAGGACCATTGCAAATCAAGGTGAAACCAAAACAGCCATTTTTAAGACGGGGAGAAGGTTTAGCTAGATTTACTAATGCTAAATCTAAGTTTCAGAATGGGAAAGAAAATAAGCTAGTGAGTAACCAGAACACTTCAGAGGACCAACTGGTGTTTAAAGTAGAGAGACAACAATTCCACCGGAAAACTGCTCTTATAAATAAAGAACTGTCTGCAGAGAACTCTACTGTTAAAAAGGACAATAAAGTTAGAACCAAAAGTAGTTCTAGCACACTCAGTCAGAAGCAAAAAGTGCCTAAGACTAATAACAGGAAAAGTCTCTCTCCAGCAGGATTGAAAATACAGACAGGGAAAAAATGTGATGGGCAATTTAGAGACCAGAATAAAGAAAAAAAAGCCGAATCTACTAATAAAGAAAATGTGCCCAGGTGTATGAAACCTTCTGAAACCAGTTGCAAAGTGTGGAGTAAGACACAAGGCAAAGACAGACTTCCTCTCTCCACAGGGCTGCTTGGCAGCGTGGCGTCTGAGAACCCAGTATGTAAGACTGTGAAGGAGTTGGAATCTTCTCTTGACCTTTCTCTTCAGAAAAAGTTAGAGAATTGGGAACGAGAAAAGGAAAAGGAAAATTTGGAATTAGATGAATTTCTTTTTTTAGAACAAGCTGCTGATGAAATATCATTTTCTAGTAACTCCTCTTTTGTACTGAAAATCTTAGAAAGGGACCAACAGATCTATAAAGGCCGCCGGATGTCTTCCACCCCTGTCAAAGCTGGGCAGCAGGAGAAGACAGATCCAGTGGAACTCACTGGTAAGTGTGACCACAGAGAGGACCGGGACCATCCTGCATGTGCGAGTAGGAATGAGTGTGAGGCTACATCCAAGCAACTTGGTTCAGTGTCCTCATCCCATGGAGTGATGGAACGATCTGGTCAAATCAGTAGGCAAATCTTCCAAGTGACCACTTCTGAAAATCAGACCCAGTGGGACGCAAGTGATGATGACGGGAGTACCAACAGTGGTAGTAGCTCCGACTCTGAGGAACAGCTCGATGTTACTATAAAACCAACAACTGAAGACAGAGAGAGGGGTTTCAGCAGCAGAGAGGACAGTCCACAAGTCTGTGATGGCAAGGGGCCTTTTAGGGACCCCAGGACTCAAGAAGAAGATAAAAGGAGAGACATTGATCTGGATTTGTCTGATAAAGATTATAGTAGCGATGAGTCTATCATAATAGACAGCATGAAAAATAAAATGAGTCCTTCTGAGTCCTCGAGAAGACCCTCGTCTCTGAGTAAAATTGACTTTGATGATGAAAGAACTTGGACTGACCTGGAAGAGAATTCATGTAAACATGACATCATTCTTGGGGATGAAGCCATGTGTGAGACACCTCAGACACACTACCCTAGTAAGAGTGAAATACAAGTTCTGGATAAAACAATAAAAAGGAAGGTCGCTCCAGTCAAGAAGGGAGAAGACAAGGGCAAGCCCAGGAGGAGCCAGAGTCCTCCTCCTCCTTCAGAACTGATGATGAAATTTTTCCCTGCTTTGAAACCAAAACCAAAACCAGATTCACACTTGGGAAATGAACCCAAGTCAAACATAAGTCAAGACCAACCACCTGGTGAGTGGAGCATTATAAAACATGTATTAGAATGTTACAAATTTAACATTGGTTTAGCAGCATATTGTTAAAATCCTAAACTTCTTGTTGCTCAGTGGAAGTCAAATTAATGGATGCTTTGTAAATCTTTATTTTGTGGGTCTAAATAATGTAATAGTTGTTAATTTAAGAGAGTTTTGTGAATTTTTCTTTCAGAATTTTTGAACTTAAACTTGTGTTTTAACTTTCCCAAGGCTTTAAAATTACTTACTTTATTATGAAGTGAGCTGTTATTTAAGTTTCTTTTTTTTATTTTTTAGGGAGAGATTTTTGCTATAGGGCATATATGCTCGCCGGAGAGACTGAGCGACAGAAAGTGAGAAATGACCCCCTAGGGGGGTGGCCATGTCACCGTTCCCTCTCCTCCATTCTCCTCTTGGGATCTTGGGCACGCACACATACGTGCCCAGCATGAGTTTTAGGTTTCTGGGTGCAGGACTTGAACCATGGTCACTATAAGGGAATCCAGAGACATAACTACCTGTTTAAATTTCTTTTATAACCAGAGGATACCAAACTAATAGTTTGTGTCTCTGTAGGCACTTCGTGTGGACAGCTGTTTTTTTGTTTGTTTTTTTTTTGACTTTTTGTTTTCTTTGCTAGAGGATGAGTGCACTTGCCAGAAAGAGAGAGAGGGAGAGGAAATTTCCTGTGGGAAATGGTCATGTTATAGTTCCTAATCCTTTATCTCTCACTGTTTTGGGGAGAGATGTGGAGGGCATGTGCTGGTGTGTTTCTTAAGCTGCTGGGTCCAGGATTGAACCATGTGGTAAGTCACATGGGATCTAGTTGCCTTATCAACTAGACCACAGAGCTGTCCTCGACTTTCTTTTTTCCCAAAGAATTATTTTATCTTCATTTATTTATTTAATTAAAAAAATTAATTAGACCAGAGAGGAAGAGAGAGAGAGAGAGAGAGCGCGCACGCAACTGAGCCACCAGGCACAGGATTTGAACTGTGGTCAGCCATGTGGGAGTCCAGCACCCTTAACCACCACGCCTCCTGCCGGCCCATGTCCTTGACTTTGTTAAATTTAAGTTTTTGCTATAGGGTATGTGTGCTTGCCAGAGACACAGAGAAAGAGAGGGAAAGTGAGAAATCATCCCTCATGAGGGATGGCTATACCATACTCCCTCTCCTCCACTCTTCTTTCAGGATTTTGGGCACACATGCACACGTGCCTGGTGGTGTTTTCTAGATGCTGAGTCCAGGACTTGAAATGAGAAGTTGGCTATGTGCAATCCAGCACTTTAATCAACACCATACCATCTGCTGGCCCACTGACTTTTTCTTTAAATGAGAGGCAGATTTTTTTATTTTTAAATTAGCAGGGGATATATGTGCCTGCCAGAGAGAGAGAGGAAAAAAAAAAATCATTCCCCAGTGGGGCATGGTTATGGTGCAGTCTATCTTCCTTCATTTCTCCATCCTGTTGGGATTTGGGACATGCACTTACCTGGTGTGTTTTTCCAGCCCCTGGGGCAAGAATTCGAACTGCAGTCAGCCATGTGGTATCTGGCACCTATGCGCAGTGCTTAACTACTGCATTACAAGCTGGCCCAAGAGAGATAGGTATTGTTGACAGAGTCTCCGTGAGTCGCAGTCTTCCTGCCCTAGCCTCCCAGTTAGCTAGGCCAACAGGTATATGCCACTGTGTCCGGCCTATTCAGTTTGGCCTGACCTCCTGTGTAACCTAAGCCATTGTGCAGTGGTGCCTTCCTGCTTGCACCACTGTGGCAAGGCTGTTGCTGTGTTTTAATTCTTTTTTTTTTTAACCACCTCGTCCTAGGCCCCTCTCCCAGAGGTATCAGCATTGCCATTTCATTTGTGTATTCTGAAAAGAGTCCAAGCATATAAAAGTTTATATGTGAGTGTCTCCTTTCTATATAAATGATACATGCTTTTTACTTACTATCTTCTACTTTGCTAATGACAAGAGTTGAATATTATTCTTACTCATATATACAGCTGTCTCACTCCATTTAATGGCTTTGTAGTATTGGACTTTGTAAACTCACATCACAAAACTTCTATTAGATTATGTCATATTGTAAACTCTGAATGTGTATTAGTATGTAGGTGCTTTAAAGTATAAACGATATAACTTAAGCTATTTTTAAAAATGCTTATTTAAAAAAGTAATATTTTGCAGAAAGTTTGGAAGCCTAAAAAATATAGAAGCAACAATATTTATAACTAACTACCCAAAGGTAGTTGTAATACAATTTTGGGATGTTTCATTTCAGTCATATATGTATACTTTTTTTTCCTTCTTTTCTTGAGAGAGATTTTTGTTATAGGGCATGCGCACTACTCACCAAAGAGTCAGAGAGCCAGAAAGCAAGAAATCACCATCCACCCCACCCCACCACCACACCCTACCCCACCCCACCCCCCGTTGTGGCTGCACCGTAATCCCTTCTTCTTCATTCTTCTCTCAGGATTTTGGGCATCACACACATGCATCTGGCGTGAGTTTCAAGCCACCAGGGCCAGGACTTGAACTGTAGTCGACTATGTGGGAGTCCAGCGCCTTAACCACCATATCATCTGCTGACCCCTTATACATATTTTTTTCATATGATGGAGACATAACTTGAAATCTGCCTTATCCTTTCAGCCTTATTATAGAGGTCAGTTTATTTTCTAAAACGGTAGTACTAACTGATAAAATGCTTGTTTCTTTTCTTTTTTTTTTTTGTAATTTTCCAGAAGATGGCTGTGCTGGCCAGAGAAAGAAAGAAAGAGGGAGAGAGAAAGGGAGGGTGGATACCATGGGGAATGAGAACACTTTAGTCTACTTTCCCTCCTTTTGGGATTCTGGGCATTCACACGTGTGTGCCTGGCATGCTGTTCAAGTCACTGGATCCAGGACTTGGAACTATGGGATCCAGTTCCTCAACTACCAGGCCATGGACTGGCCCTAAAATGCTTATTTCAATTGAAGTACAAAAGTGCTGGTTATTTTAATTTTTAAAAAACAATTTTTTTCTTTCTCAAGCTTACTTATTTTTGAGAGGGAGACTGCAATATGGTCGGTTTTTTTTTTTTTTTTTTTGAGAGATTTTTACTATAGGGTGCTTGCGCCCATGGAGAAACAGACAGAGAAACAAAAAGTGAGAAATCTCTTCCTGGGGGATGGTTACTCCACAATCCCTTCTTTTCCATTTGCCTCTTGGAACTTTGAGCACGCACACACAAGTGCTTGACATGAGTTTTAAGTCACTTGGCCTGGGACTCGAACCATGGTTGACCACGTGGGAGTCTAGCACCTTAACCACTATGCCACCTGCTGGCCCTTCAATATGGTCTTAACACCATGATCCACCCCCCAGCCTTTAGCCAGCCCAAGATCATGGGCATGCATGTACCTGCTATACTCCCGCAGGTCTCCAGACTTGAACCCTCAGCCTTTCCATATCGCTCAGTCTCACAGAGCATTATTGTTGCACCATTCTCTGGCTTCTAAACAGCAAATCTGATAAGGAGAAAAACTATATGTATTCCTATGGTTAGCAGTAGAAGATAAACTTTTATTTTTTTGTGTGTCAATTAGCCCTTTAAATCTATGAACTATTTACTCATATTCTTAAGCTATTTATAGCTCTACCTATCTATCCATTAGGTAGTGGGAAAAGTCATAACCAATTTTTCTGTGTTTGTCTATGTAAAAATGTGTCATGACTTTCCCAACAATCCAATATATATACTGGTCTTTTTAAAAAGTTGCTGTGAATGATTTAATGTGTGATTTTGATTCCTTATATAAGGTTAAGACTGTTTGAGGTAGAATTATTTAATTCTTCTTTAAATTTAGACTGCTTTCCTCTGGAAAATCGGCTTGTTTAATTTCTTTCTCCACTGTGTTATTCGAAGCATTGTTTCTAATACATTTAATGGCACAGGCGTGTCCTTGGCACACTGATAATAGCAAGCTAGGTTTCTGCTGTGTCAGGCCTTTTGTAAAGTTCAGAATTTATGACCTGTTTTATAGGTGACAGTCCTCTATCCCAGGCTTTGAGAGAGAAAGTTATTGAATTGGAAACAGAAATAGAAAAATTTAAAGCTGAGAACACATCTTTAGCTAAACTTCGTGTAGAACGAGAAAATGCCGTGGAAAAACTCAGGTATGTTTGCATCTATAAGTCAGAGGAAAAAAATACAGTGATTTGGTTATATCTTTCAGACTGTATTTAAAATATTCAAAGCATGTTTAATCAGTCCAACAAATGCAAATGTAAAAGATGTGAAATCTATATCACATAAGTTTAAAAAAATTTTTTTGTTATAGGTCTGTGCTCTTGCTGGAGAGAGACAGATAGGGGAAAATGAGAAATCATCCCCTGAGAGGATGGCCATGCCACAATCCCTTCTCCTTGTCTTAGGATTTTGGGTACACACGCATATACACCTGGCATGTTTTTAAGCTGTGAGGTCCAGGACTTGAACTGTATAGTTGGCGATGTGTAATTCAGTGTCTTCAACCTAAACACTACTGGCTGGTCCAATATTTAAAAAAATTTTTTTAAATAAAATAATGCAGTGTAGTCAAAGATATGCCAATAGGGGAGTTCTCTTTGTGGAGAGATTGTATAATAAATCGAAATTTGGAAAGCATTTTGGAGCTGTGACTTGAAGTGGTACCTTGACTAGTAAATAGTTTCTTAAAACTACTGTATCTTTCAGGCATTATCATTTTTTACATATGAGAATACTTTAACAACAACAACAACAACAAAAAACAAAACAAAAAAAACCCAAACCAACTCTTTTTTCACAGTGGGTTTCAAGAAGTGATGCTGTCCCAATTGGTGTCTGTGACTCCTTCTCATCTCTTTTCATATCACCAGGGTGGACATCGTAGTCTTTAAAATCTTGCCAACCTGATAATACCATTTTTCACCTCTTTTTTTAAAACTTAATTTTTTTTTTACATTTCTTAAATTTGTATTTGATCACTTCATCTTTACAGTGTACAAAATGGTCTTTTTACAGCATGGATGCAGTGAATATTGATTAATTCAAAGATACCACCATAAATATCTTCATCAACAGCCTTTTCAAAGTTAAAGTTTATATTTCTTTAACTGATAAAGTCAAGTTTATTTTTATATTCAGTGGTCGTTTGTGCTTATTTTGTCAGTATCTTCATGGCATTTGCTCATTTTTTCTGGTGGGAATTTTATGCAGATGAATTAATATCAAATGTGCGGTGAATATTCTTCCCCCAGTTTTTGCCTTTAAATATATGATTGTGGTTACATTATTGGAATTTTGAATATTTAGTGAAACGTGAATATCTTTTACCTTTTCTGTCTACTCTCCCTCCTGTGGGGTGCTCTTCAGTTCGAGTCTCTAGATACCACATGGCAGCTAGTGTGTCCCAAATCAAGTCTCTTGCCCACATCTCCTACCTTATTGCCTCATCAGTCTTTACCTGGAGGGCTGATAAGAATTTCAGATTGGTTGTTTATAAATGGTTGGCTCCTGCCATCTCTCTGTTCTTACTCTTCCCAAAACCTCCCCTTTGCAGCAGTGACAAGCCTGTCCTTTCATCTGCCCAGGCCATAAGCCCTGGAGTCCTTGAGCCTACTCTTGTTCCACACCATTCGGCACCATCCCCACACTCCCTAACTAGTGTCATGGCTCTTCATAAAAGGCCAGAGCCAGCCCTAGGACATGCAGCTCCTCTGAGACACCTTCTTCTTCTTTTTTTTTTTTGAGAGGATTTTGCTATAGGGCGTGTGCGCTCACCAGAAAGACACAGAGAGAGACAGAGAGACAGAAAGCAAGAAATCACCCCCAACAGGGGATGGCCACACCGCAATCCCTTCTCCATTCTCCTCTCGGGATCTTGAGCATGCACACACACGCGCTCGGCGTGAGTTTTAAGCCACCGGGTCCGGGACGCGAACCGCAGTCGACTACGTGGGAGTCCAGCGACATAGCCATTACACTAACTGCTGGTCCCACCCAGCGTGAGTTTTAAGCCACTGGGTCTGAGACTCGAACCCCGGTTGACTACATGGGAGTCCAGCGACATGGCCATTATGCCAACTGCTGGTCTCCCACCCTTCTTTCTTAACCTCCTTACTTTATTTTTCACCTTAATGTTTCTGTAGTCCATAGGCTTCACCTATTTATCTTGTTTGTTACTGGCTGTCTCTTCCATCAGAATCTAAGGAGGTTGATGGGAGGGAGGGTTTTGTTTTTTCTTAATTTCCCACCCCAGCAGGGGCCTGCTATGCAGTAGGCCACAGAAGGTGCTGATTGCAGGAGGCTTGAGTAAAGTACTGGCTGATCTTTCAGGCCTGTAGATTCAAAAGGGGGTTACTGGAATGGCAGCTCCAAAGTGGTCACTGGCTTCCATTTTGATACCACATGTACTGAGATGGGACCCTTACATGGTAACATGGTTTGGTCATTTTTAGAAAAGAAATTGCAGACTTTGAGCAACAGAAAGCAAAAGAGCTGGCTCGAATAGAAGAGTTCAGAAAGGAAGAAATGAGGAAGCTACAAAAGGAACGTAAAGTTTTTGAAAAGTACACTACAGCCGCAAGAACTTTTCCAGATAAAAAGGAACGGGAAGAAATACAGGTATGCCAGTTCTCTGGACTACTCTCATATTATGAAGGTGACAATCTTGTAAGACTCTCATTAGAATTATTTGATATTTCTTTACTTCTTAAAGAGTAAAATGTTGGGTGATTAGGAAAGTCCTGATGCATTTTGCATAGAAAAACAGAAAAATACATCATGACTATCCTGACAGCCCAATATATCAGTATTTTTCTTACTAGTAAAGGCTTACTAAAGGCTTCCCAAAAATGTTCCTGATGATGACATGGGTGAATTAATAAGCCAGGAGTTAGAACTTTACCAGTGCAGTGACATGTTAATCTTGAGCCACCACCACCACACACTGTTCGTTCTGCTCATGTAGAATTCAAGGACAGCATCCTAACTAGTGTCTGGTTCTAAACCAGGCCACATTAACCCAGGCCACATTATTGGTCCTGTTCATTTCAGAGTTAGAAATGGACATGGTCTAGCTCCAGGTAGTGGCACAGCAGTGACACAGTGCTCTGCAGTGCTCACATGGAAAGGTCTTGGGTTCAAGTCCTGAGGTCTCTCTGTATATGCTGGGCTGGTTGAGGCTGGTTGAGGCTGGTTGAGGCTGGTTAAGGCTGGAGTCAGTTCATGGTGTGAAGACCCTATTAGTAATGCTTGTCTCTATTACTGTCTTTCATGCTTGGGAGAAATAAACTAACTATAAAAAAAGAAATGGGGCTGCCTGGTGGTCTTCCGTTAAGGCATCTGAACCCCACATGGCCATCTACATGGTTTGAGTCCCAAAAATTGGTGGCTTGAAAAACACACTGGGAGTGTGTGTGCATGTCCAAAATCTTGAGAGGATGGAGAAGTGGAGAAGAGAGGGAGAAATGCAGCATGACCACACCCCATGAAGGGTGCTTTCTCTTTCTTACTTTCTTCGTTGAGCACACATGACCTCTAGCATATTATAAATTAAAAAAAGAAACAGACATGATCAGAGAACTGTTTCTTGTTAAAACTATCAACCTAGAAAAAAACATAGGTGATCATATATGTGATATTGGCATATATCACACTTTTTTAGTTTTTT